CCCCAACCTGGGTCTCGTACTCGCGATTTTACGTGGCAATACTACTTGGTAAAGTAAGGCTGCATGTAAGGGTGATTGTGACTGGTGGATCTATTTTTGGCTGTATCACTGTCAGGATAAATATTAACAAACCAAAGAAAACATTTTTATAATAATAAACTATTCATCATTATTTTAGATCATGAGAAGTTTCCAAATGTTCGTATATTTGCTTAATAACGAAGAAAATTTTATGATAATCTTGTGGCAGCTGTGGTTGTAGTCGAGTTGCCAATTCACTAATACAGAATTACAGGGTTTAGGAAATATTAAAACTTAAGGGCATATGAATGATAGAAGTTGAACTGTCACTTTTTTTATCTTTAATTGTGGTACAGTGCTGTACAGTATTTTTTACCAAGTCTTTGACTTTGTAGAGTTTTGCGTGCGAGTAAATTCTTGAGAAAAACGGACACTTTTTGAGAAACAAAAGTCCAGCTATTTTTATTGAAACAAGGAAGTGAGTAATGTTTTGAAATGAAATTAAAACCTAGCTACAATAGGACATACATTGAAATTAAGGAAGGAAAGGTGTAAAATCAACCATAAAAAGTGCCGTCTAAATAAGTATTGGATCAATCAGCCTGTATTATGAAATTCTGAAGTCAAGATCATTGTGAAGAGATATTAGCCTGACAGGTGTGATCTGGACATATGAGGCATCTACCCAAGTCTGGTAATTGTACCTAAGTACTGCATGTATAAATAGCTAAGTACACCTACCCAAATAAGAGAAAATTTAAGAATCCAAATTCAAGTAGCACTGATAAATTTAACCTAACCTAACCAACCACTTAACAACACCCCTCCTATACATACATCAAAAAGTCACCTCAGATGTAACTAACAAAATGGTGGGTGGAGCCCTAAAGCAGGATATACAGTACACAAAACAGAGGAAGCAGGGGTGGTCAGACTGTGAAGAACACAGACACACACTTTCATTTAGGGCTCACTCCACTCATTAACTCCTTATCAGTAGTGATTTAATTGTATGACAACTAATACAAAGAAAGGTAAATGAACTCCAGGTAACAGATCCTGAATATGAAATAACAATCATTTACCGGGTACAATTATTGACAGGTGCTGTACACAATTTTTAAATGTGCAAAGACAAAACCTGAATACGTATGAACTAAAAATATTTCATTATCATGGACAGGTACACAATTTTCTCCATAATCAACAATCTGAGTACAGTACTCTATGGAAATAGAGATGAAAGCTGGTAAGAAACTTTTCAATCTGGCTACCCAACAGGTGGATGAATCTCAAACATTATGTAAGTCTGGCCTTGATAAACATAGGATACTATATTGTACAATGCTTTTAACAGCAGTCTTAGAGATACTGTTGTGCCTTTAAAGCTCAACTATGTCAACTAAATCATTTGGAAATGTTCAATAGTGTTCCCTTTGTTTTATTCATATAAAATAAAATACAGTAATGCCACACTACTCAACCAAAACTGTAAATTTTTTGCCTTGTGACAGAGATCAATAAATCAAAACCACTAGCTAAGTTTCTCCCCTCCCCCAAGTATAAAGTATGACCTAAAGACCCATACTATAGTACTACAGTACTATACAGTATAGAATGCACTGCTGTGTGTTCCATTGTGAAATACCTACTGTACTATTCACAATTTATGCTAAAACTTGAAGGAGAAGGCCCAAATAAGGTGTGAAGAGGATTAAGACCTTGAGGTCCATCATTTATCTATTTATGAATCACTGCGTATACTGAACAAATTATGAGTCAGTAAGTGATGCAATGAATACAAATATGTTAAGAGATGAACTAAGAGTCTAAGGTACCAGGTAGTCAAATACTGTACAGTATGTAATTTTTCTCATGTCATAAAAGTATAACTTATCTGTTACTGCTAAAATGTGAGACCATTCATTAAAAATTTTCATTAAAATTTTACTTGCTATTTTCTACTCATTTATTTTTTCCAGTTGTGACACTTTCCATGAACTACAAATTTACAGTAGTATTAGTACAGTATGAAGTATTAAAGTATACAGTAAATGGTCTGTAAACAAAATCCCCAGAACTGATAATTTAGGGACACTTGTTAACATTTACCGTGCTTGTGAACCAACAAATCTAACTGCTACTGCCCTGCACTGGGCAAGCAGTAATTGTGGCATTTGTGATAACTTCTGTGGGTGTTATGACAACAGTAATATGGAAAAATAGTTTATATGAACACGGAGTTAACTATAGTTAAGTTCAAGGAGAGAAGGGAGGCCAGCAGTGTTGATGGTAGCGGTTCTGCTGAAACCACACGATGACGCCGCGTGTTATCTGTCCTGAGCGGGTCAGTTCAAGACACACTGCCGCGCTGAGAGCAGTATCACCTACGGACTAGTAAAAGACCCGTTACACTAAAGTCCATGCTCATATGAGGCTTTACTGATCTAATATGTTATGTATGGGAAGATACTACGTATACACTTTGGTCATATACAGATAAGAGTATCGTAAATGTGGTTGCCATTGTATACAATACGAAGCTATATTTGTCACCTAACTTGTAATCCACATATCATGAATAATGTGTTAACTTGAAGATTTTATTGATAGGTCTTGACCATGAAGCACCCTCGAGTCCACGTGCACGGGTCTTCTTATCCAGAAGTCGCGTACTTACTGTTTCATTGGCGGTAACACTAACTTTTACAGTCAATAGCATTAAATAGTTTTCTTTCACGTGTGATAAACTGAATGTTAAAATTTAATGTACAGGGTACAGTAATTATACTAAACAATCCTGTTAATGGGAATATGATCAAATGTATATTGGTCTAGTGCCTTTTTTTGTTACTCGTGTGATATTGTAGGCTGATGGGAAATTTCAATAAGACAGAACTCATTTACAGCACAACACTGTACAATATTATGATGAAATAAAATACATAGTACAACAAGGTCTCAAGATGAAAATATTGTAATTACTACATATATTTTATTATTACAGTATAGTACCTGTATTTTCATTAAATAATAATGGAGACCGAGACTTGAAAGAGCTGGGCCTTTGAAGAATGGATTTGAGTATGACAATAGCTGTCCATGTACTGTACAGTACATGTACTGCACTTCCCAAACACAGGTGTCCTCAGTTAGTCATATTTTTTTCAGTAATCAACAAGAAAAGGTTTATGGGCCTGGGACTTCAAAATGGTAAATGCAAAAATAAATAAAATTTCATTCACTGTGGTGTTTTACCATCGGTTTTCTTAGATTTTGTGATCCATATCACCACTACTACTACATACAATTGACCGAAGAAATGCATGGTTTTCAGTACGATTAGTTCAAACGGCGGTATCTGGTAACTTGTTGGGAGCCAAGCCAATGACTAATCACTGACCAGTGGGCTAGATGCCGTTGCAATAAGATGGTATATGTATTAATGAACTCCCGAGCCAAATTTCTCACTACTGTACCTAACTTTTTTTTGGCATTCCCTCAAACATTTGCAAGTAAAAGGCTTCAAAGATGGGTAACAAAAGTAAAAGAACTATTATATCCCTACCCAATGCTTGAAAGGCAAAGACGTGGTGTGCAGAAAAAAGAGAGAGAAAAAAGGACAGCCAGTCTAAGGTGATAGAGCAACACGAATCGATAACACTTACTTCTAGGTGTAGAATATTCTGCATATGGCTTAATTCCTCACTTACTTTTTTAAGAACAATTTAAAAGGTGTTTATTACTCTAAAATAATTATTAGTTGAATAAGGTTTCATAGAAGTTAGCAATTTAACCAAGTTTTCCTTTTTTCTTTCATAACAATTGATCATTGAATGGCAACCTTTAATGTTTTATATTTTATTCTTGGGTGCTAAATAATACAATACTGTACCTTCAGAGTATAACTGACAATTAATTTTCTTATAATTACTAGGGGAAAAGATATATTCAGGTATCGAGAAAGGTTTATCTAAACATATACGTATTTATCAAAGACTCAAAGTCTAGTTTTGTGAATGTTTTCTGCCTTACATTATTGTCCCCTATTTACATTATTTCTTATCGGGGAAATAGCTCCGCTATTCGCAATTTCGATATTCGCAACGCGTTTCATGCCCGTAACCTTTGCGATAAGTGAGGCAGCCCTGTATTGTTCTCGCATTGTTCGCCAGTAATGGACGATTAGCCAATCAGAACGCACTCACGGTAAAATAGCATTAGTAGGAACTTAGCCGGTCACTAAAAAATATCCACTGCCTTTAAAGCATTACCCTTCAATATACTGTACATCACAAAGGAGTAGGTTAGGCTCACGGCCTCAATGGTTGACATTCAGAGAATTACAAAAACAATCACTGAGCTGTTTGATTTTAGCAAAAACGGACTACAGAGCAACCCAGTCATTTTTTCTTTACTCCCCCAACAGAACTGCATTTTATTATGACTTGAAACACACGTTTCAGTAATATAATGTAAATAAAATACACAATTTAATAAGATAATAACACTGAAACAATATGTTAGTGGTGGTAAGTGATGGTGTTTAGGTCAGTGTGTGGCAGTCAGGTAGTGTTGACAGCTCGGGCAACACCACCACCTGTTCCTCTCTCCTTAACAACACATCTAGGTATCCCCATATACAGTACAGTAATCTACATAAATCTATAAATAAAAATCCAACTGTGGTAAGGTGGCGGTAAACGGCTTTAAAACGACAGGAAATGGGAAAACCATCTAGGTAAATTCCCCTCCTCCCAGTACTCATCACCACCTGTTCGCTCTTGTCTATCTCGTACACGACTATTTGGTGATAATACCTTACAATATTCTCGGAAAACCTGATGAAAATAAAACATTTGAAGTTGCTACAGTCATTAGCTATTTCAAATTGACAGGAAACGTAAAAATAACAAGGCGATACCTCCCTTGGGTTAAGTTTTGGGGAGAATCAGCTGAGTGGGTTCATCCATACTCACACTTTCTCCGTGAGTTCTCTCACTTTCCACATATTTAACATGACAGAGGAAGCTTCAAAATTTTCTTATGTCCTCCACTCCACGACCTCTGCTCCTACAAACGCACAGGATGGACCAAAATCTGTGACAAAATCAAACCGCAAAAACACTTTCACCTCAACATGGCTACCTACACACGTCACAATGTGCGGATGACTGAAAAACAAAACTGTATTTCCTTATCCCTTTAAATATCTCGCCTATAATATCATTTCCGACATTGTTTCCTTGATTTTATGGATTCATCAATTTAAAGCGTGAATCAAACCACTAAAAATGGATATGGTCAGGCACGTCCGGTCAAAAGAATCGCAAAAGCGGGAAGTTTAAAACTGTAATCCTTTGATAGCTGGTGAATGTTGAGTTTCGGTGTAGGTCTCATTATGTTATTTAATATTTTAACATATTTTTTGTTTTATCTTAGTCATGCTATATCAATATGTTGTGACGGCACCGAGTGTGAGCTCTTTCAAGACTATAATAACTTAAAGTGAATACATATTGGCAATCGAGCTGGTAGGACAACTGCCAGCCTATTCGTGTCATAGGTGCCACAGAGACTTTAAATTTTATTTTGTTTGTGTGCTTGCTCAAGGACTGAATCTGTGTTTATAATACACCACTCACAGGGAGATACAGTGTACACAGTGATAGTTCATAGTGTCATCAGTGACCGCGGAAGTTGTAAATAACTTAAAGTGAGCGCTAACTAGCAAGCAAGCTGGAAAGGCACCGTGCCAGCTGAAACCAAGTCGAGTTATAGGTGCCACAGAGATCTTAAATTTTATTTTGTTCGTGTGCTTTCTCAAGGATTGAAACTGTGCCTACAATACACCATTCACAGGGAGATACAGTGTACGCAGTCGCAGACGACAACTCTATAGGCAACAGAGAGTAGCTAAGTACTGTTCTTTTTCTCTCTTTACTTTTTTTTAAATAGATGTAGATCTATACACAGTCTGCACCCCTGCCCCACCCCACACCCACAACAACAACCATGAGTTTGTTATGTGATTACTGCAGGGAGACGTCGGATATGGAGGATACAGGCCTGACTAATGCAACGTTTAGGAAGTTACTAAGTGCCGTAAAGCATGATGGCTGCTGCTGGTATTGCCCTGGCTGCATGGGATGGGGGAAGAAATGAGTGGTATCAACTGGCCTGATTCATTAAGGTACAAGAACGCGGACACTACGCTAAATATCATAACTAGTAAAGTGACCCATTTGATCGATAAATACATACCTAAGACCAAACCCAGTGCTTCTGGGAATACGAGGGGATTCCTACACATGAACCATGCGGCGGTCGACAAAATTAAGAAGAAAACCCAGAAATTCAAGACGTGGGTTGGGTCAAACGATGAGCAAGACAGGAGGATGTATGCAAGAGCCAGAAACCAAGCAAAGATAGAGTGTAGGAGGGCTGAAAAGGAGTTCCAAAGGCTGGTTGCACGCGAGGTCAAGTCAAACCCAAAGGCGTTTTACCGCTATGCAAAGTCGAAATTGAAAACGCGAGTAGGAGTATCAGACCTGAGGCTTGAAGATGGTAGTTACGCAGATTCTGACCAGGATAAAGCTGAGGCATTGAACAGCTTCTTTTCCTCAGTGTTCACAAGAGAGGATGCAACTAACCTTCCTGCGTTTGAGGACAGACGGTTCGACACAGCACTGACCCACATTGTGTTCACAGAAGAGGGTATTAGAAATAAACTGTCCAGGCTAAAGGTCCATAAGAGTCCTGGACCTGACATGGTGCATCCTAGAGTGCTAAGGGAGCTGTGCAACGAGCTTGCAGAGCCCCTGAAGATTCTGTTTTGTAAATGCCTGGATGAACAAATGGTCCCCAGTGAATGGAAAGTGGCTTATGTGAGTCCTATCTTCAAGAAGGGCGATAGGCACTCCACGAACAACTATAGACCGGTGAGCCTGACCAGCATAATATGTAAAGTACTTGAGAGTATTATCAGAGATGCAGCGATGGAACATCTACTACGAAACAACCTTGTAAAAGATTGCCAACACGGTTTTATGCCGGGGCGCTCTTGCTTGACACAATTGCTCAAGGTATTGGATATTTGGACCCATATTCTAGAACGGGGTGGTAATATCGACAATATTTACCTAGATTTTGCCAAGGCTTTCGACAGTGTACCCCACGAAAGGCTGAAAATCAAACTGGAAGGGTACGGAATTCGGGGAAATGTCCTAGCGTGGATAGAAGACTTTCTACATGACCGCAAGCAATGTGTGGTGATTAATGGCACGAAATCGTCATCTGTACCTGTAACAAGTGGGGTACCGCAGGGTAGTGTATTGGGCCCGCTGTTGTTTGTTTGTTTCATAAATGATATGCCTGACGTTGTACACTCCTCCATACAAATGTTTGCCGATGACGCCAAGTTATTTCGGGAAATTAAGAACCAAGCGGACTGTGAAGAGCTGCAGAAGGACCTCTGTGGGCTCCAGGAATGGTCGAAGGAATGGCTGCTGAGATTCAATGTCACGAAGTGTAAGAGGATGCACCTGGGGCGTACCAACGGTAAGGAGGCGTACCATATGTCCCAACGGGATGAAGAAAATGTACTAGTTGAGACTGTGTGTGAGAAGGACCTAGGTGTGTATGTTGACAATGAGCTGAAGTTCTCGGGCCATTGTGAGAAGAAGGTAAATCAGGCAAATAAATTATTGGGTCTTATAAGAAGGTCGTTCAGATATCTAGACGGTCCGTCCCTCGTGACGATCTTCAGGAGTGAAGTGCTTCCCCATCTGGAGTACTGTCACCCCATCTGGTCCCCGAGATATGCTAGGGACTGTCAGTTGGTTGAAAATGTTCAAAGGAGGGCCACCAAGCTGGTGCCTGCACTTCGGCATCTCAGCTACCCTGCGAGATTGGAGCGCCTGAACTTGCCTAGCTTATACTACAGACGGGCAAGGGGGGACCTAGTTGAGGTTTATAAGCATCTCAGGGGGCACTACTCAGTTGAGTGTCCTTACTTGGAGCTGGCGGACGCTCGCCCCACAAGGGGTCACAGCTCAAGATTGAAGAAGCCGCAAGTCCAGAAAACCGTGAGGGCAAACTTTTTCGGAGTGAGGGTTGTAAACTCTTGGAACAATCTACCAGAGAGTGTTGTGACGGCACCGAGTGTGAGCTCTTTCAAGAGAAGACTTGACCAACACTGGAGCGGGTTCAGGTACATTCAGGAGCCGGTGCATGCCCAGTATTTGCCAACAGTGCGTGACAGAGACGTGACCGATCGCCCGGGCGGCTAGCGAGCCGACCTTTTGGTGAAGAATATAAAGGAAAAGAGTCGTGACCGATCGCCCAAGCGGCTAACAAGCCGATCAGTGGCGAAGAGGATAAAAGTAAAAGTAAAAGAATGAAGCGATTGCAATCCATAAGGGAACGAGTTCTCTAGGGACGAAAATAGATGAAGCAGGAGCCCTGCTGGTTGACAAACTGGAGCAAGTTGAGAAAGAGATCCTTGCTAAGACTGAGGAAGTAGCTAATAGAATGGAGGTGGTTGCTAAGAGGAGCTATGCGGACGTATTAGGAGGGCCACGGGTGGGGGGGGCGGAGAGTAATGCAGAATCAGTACAGGTTCTACAGCAGATTGGGACTCTGAAAAAGTGTGTCGAAGAAATGAAAATTAACGGACCTACTGTTAGGGGAGAGGAGGAACACCAGGAACGGCTCCAGCGCAGGAACAATGTAATAGTTTTTGGAGTCCCAGAGAGCCAGGCGGAGGGAACTGTGAGTAAGGAAACACACGACAAGGTGCTGTTTCAAAATATTTGCACAGAGGTTCTGAAGATTCCAGCAACCCCTCAGGATGTGAGGAGACTGGGACAAAAGCAGGGGGCTAAGCCTCGCCCCCTCAGGATCACACTAGGGAGTGAGGAGGAAAAATGGCAAGTTATCCGGCAGGCAAAAAACTTAGCAAGGAGCGAGGCATTTCGAGATGTATTTATTCACCCAGACCGCACGGTAATGCAGAGGGAACAGCACAAGAAGCTCCTGCTGGACTTGAAGCAGAAGAGGGAGGAGTCGAGAAGGAACGGGGACAGGTGCACATGGGTTATACTCAGGGGGAGGGTAGTGGAAACAAGTGTGCCGACACAGGGCCAGGGGGCAGCAGTGCACCCTCCACCCACTCAACCCCCCACCCGGGAGGCGGCACCGGCTCAGCCTACCGGACAGGAGGGAACGAGCGCCGTGTAAACAATGAAATTTTTAACCACACCCTGCAAAATACAGTGTACTTAGCAAATGCTGCAGCTTCTGAGAATGTGGGTGGAGCGGGTTTATTACTAAGAGCAGAGACGTTACCGAGAACAAATTCTGGCTTGAATGTCATGTACACTAATACCGACACGTTCCTTGATAAGAGGGAGGAGTTTGAAACACTACTAAGAGTACACCAACCAGATATTGTAGGAGTTGTAGAACTGTTGTACAAGAACAGGAGAATCGACCCAGAGGAATGTGAGTTCAGTATTGCTGGATATGACTCATTTACGAACCTAACTCAAGAATCCTGCAGGAGGGGTGTGGTTATCTACGCTAGGCAAGACCTTAGAGCCAGCCAGGCGAGGGTACAGGGAGAGGATGTCTTTGAAGAGTCCAAGTGGTGTAAAATTAAATTAAAGGGAGGGGACTTACTTATCGTCGGGTGTATCTACAGATCCCCGAACTGTGGCCCACTAAATCAAAGGAACTTAAGAACCTTAATAAACAATGCGGCGATGCTCAACCCCAGCCACCTCCTTATCATGGGGGACTTTAACTATGGCGACATCGACTGGAGAAACGAGTCAACCCCGAATGACTTGAATAATCCTGCTACTCTTTTTGTAGAAACTCTGAGAGATAATTTTCTGTTCCAACATGTGAGAGACCCGACACATTACAGAGGGGAACAAACACCCAAGCCACTTGACCTCATCATAACAAACGAGGAGGGTATGGTGGCCAAACTGGAACACCTTGCCCCAGTTGGCACCAGTCACCATACAGTGTTGTCATTCAGATTTAACTGTTACCTAGTTCAAGATAAGGCCAGGCCAAGGTGCAAATATTACAAGGGAAATTACAATGGGATGAGGGAAGAGATGAGGGGTATCAACTGGCCTGACTTAT